GGCCCTTGGCCTTAGAGCTACGCTCAGAGCTTCGCCGCGCGATTCCTCGACAAACGATATCAGCGATATCCATATCACAAATAGGGCCCCCGAAAGCACCCGGGAGGCCCCCAAGGGTCCCCCGAGCGGCCTCAGAGAGCCCAAGATGACCTCCAAGATGGCTCAAGATAGCCCAAGCTGGCTCAAGATAGTTCCCAAGATGCTCCAGAATGCCCCGAGACCGCCCCAAGACGGCTCGAGATGGCCAGCCCGCGCAGACGTCCCAGGGCTTCTGAATGGGTTGACTATGCGCGTCTCTTCCTCTCCCCCGTCAGTTCTCATGGGCATCGTTTCTGGATGGGCTGGTGGTGATTCTTGGTTAGGGGGCGCGCGATACGAGTCGAACGCAGAGCGTGCTAGGGCGGGCCGCGCTGGTAGCGAAGTGAAAAGCAGCGCAGGTGGCGGCGCGCGAGGAGCCGCGATACCGACCAGGCGGTCAGCAGCAGAAGAGCGCGCCGTTGGCGAAGACCACGCGAGCGAACGTGGCGAACAGGAAGCACATGGGGCGCCCCAGGAGCACGAGGAGGACGCCGAAAAGGACGGAGGCGGAGGTGGTGGACCGTCGCACCGAACGAAATACGGCTGTGCCAACGTGGAAGACGCAGCCAAAAAGGCGCGAAGAAGGCGAACGGGCGGCCGTAGAGGGTGACGGTGACTCGCGGGTGGACCACGTGAGGTAGCACAGACGGCACCCTGGGTAAGCGGAACACGCAGAACGAGGCGACCACGCCAGGCAGCAAAAGTCGTCCAAGTAACCGCGACCAGCACATCCCAAAGGACAACCTTGACGCACGGGTAGAACTTCAGAAGGACGTCAACCGACACCGTGAGACCCGCGAGCGCGAACCAAAGGACAAAGCTGATCGGCGCGAACGGACCGCGCTGGTGACGACGACCGCAAGTGAAAGCCCAGCGCGCACCCGGGGCCAAAGAGAAACAATGTCGAACAGGTAGGACTTCAAAAGGCCGTCGGCTGACACCGCGCGCTCCACGCGCGCGAACCGGAAGGCAAAAAGGAGCGGCGCGCGAGAACCGTGCAAACGAGCGCCGCCCATCGGGTAGCCCGAGGGTGGAGCGGCGGGGGACCGCGTCACCACCACAGTCATCATCATCATCATCATCATCATCATCATCATCATCATCAGCAGCAGCAGCAGCACCATCATCATAATCGACACCATCGTCGTCATAAGCATGAGGATCATCAGCAGTGATGCCATCATCATCACGATCATCATCATCATCAACAGCATCATCACCATATTCAGCATCATAATCATCATAATCACCATCAGCATCAGCATCATCATCATCGTCGTCAGCGTCATCAGCATCATCAGCATCACCATCACCATCACCATCAGCATCATAATCATCGTCAACGTCGACATCACTATCATCAACATAATAGCTACAACAACCATCATCATCATCATCATCATGACCGACACCATCGTCGTAATCATCATAATCATCAACAGCAGCATCAGCATCTCCGTCATCACCGTCATCATGCATCGCCACCATCGTCAGCAGCAACGGCATGTCCACCAACAGCAGCATCAGCATGATCATCAGCATCATCACCATCGCCATCCCCAACATCAGTCACCATCAGCATCAGCACCATCATCATCATCATTATCATCATGAGCACCATCGCAAACATCTTCAACGACAGCATCATCACCATTCATCAGCATCATCATCATCATCATCATCATCATCATCATCATCATCATGATCATCATCAGCATTGTCGTCATCATCAGGATCATCGAAATGATCATACCCTTCGTCGCCATGCTACTCAACCTCCTCCTCCTCCTCCTCCACATCCCCCGCCGCCACAGCCTTCCCGCTATCATTATCATCAGCATCATCGGCATCGTGGTCATCATCATGATCATCAGCATCGTCGTCACCATCATCATCATCAGCAGCATCATGGTCATCCCTTGCACCATCACCATCCATGCATCACCATCACAAGCAGAAGCAGCAACATCATTATCATCATCAGTACAATCTGCATCATAAACGTCATAACAACCATCATCACCCGAGTCGCCGTCGCCGTCACCTTCAGCAACATAATAACCATCATCACCGCAATTAGAATCATCAGCTGCAGCAGCGCCAAGACAATTATCACCATCACCACCACCACCATCATCACCGTCAGAATGATCATATGTTACATCGCCAGCAGCAACTTCATCAACATCCAAATCATCATCCTCATCACCGTCGTCGTCGTGGCAATCATCATCATCAGCATCATCAGCAGCGTCATGGTCATTACAATCATAAACATCATCATCCCCGTCATCATAATCATCATCACCACCAATCATCAGCACGATCGTCACCAGCATCAGCGTCAGCATCATCATCATCCTCATCAGCATCAGCAACATCACCATCATCGTTCAGCACCCAGCATCATCATCATTATCAGCATCATCGTCACCATCACCGTCGTCGTAACCATCAGCCCCCATCGTCCTCAATATCCTTCCCCTCCCCATCCTCCGCCTCCTCCGCCTCCCCCTCCTCCTCGACATCATCTCATCATGATCGTCATGAGCATCGTCATCATCAGCAACAGCATCATCATCACCAATCATCATCATCATCAGCAGCAGCATCATCAGCATCATCGTCAGCGACATCATCATCGTCAGCGTCATCATCATCAGCATCATCATCATGAGAAGCAGCATCATCGACGTCCTCTTCACAACCACAATCATCAGCAGCATCATCAGCAGCGTCATCGTCATAATCATCATCATACTCACCATCGTCATCATCATCATTGTCGCCAGCGGTATCCCCAGCATCATCATCAAGCATCACCATAACACCATAATTATCCTGAGTTTCATCTTGAAACGAATCATAGTAGTCATCACAATCATCTAGATGATCACAAACACCATCGTCATCATCATCATCATCATCATCATCATCATCATCATCATCATCATCATCATCATCGACATCATCAGCATCATGAGCATCATCGCAATCATCATCATCAGCAGCATCAGCAGCATCCTTATTGACAGCAACATCATCACATCAGCATCGTCATCAGCAGCATCAGCATCATCATATCAGCACCAGTATAATTATCATCAGCAGCAGCATCATCGCCGTCGTCGTCAGCAGCAGCATCATGGTAATCCTCATAACCACCACCACCACCAGCATCCGTATCATCAGCACCAGCACAATCATCATCACCATCAAATCAATCATCATCGTAAACGTCTTAAGTGTCATTCTCAGAGTCGTCATAATCAGCATCATCAACACCACCATTATTATCATCATCGGCATCATCATCCCCATAACCATCATCAGCAAAATGACCACGACCACCATCATCACTATCGTCATCATCATTGCCATCATCATCATCGTCATCAGCAGCAGCAGCAGCACTACCATCATCAGCACAATCATCATCAGCACCATCATCATCAGCACTATCATCATCACCATCACCATCACCATCACCATCACCATCGTCATTGTCGCCGTCGTCATCGCCGACACCATCACCATAAGCATTAGCAGCATCAGCATCAGCATCATCAGCATCAGCATCATGAGCATCACAATGATCATCGTCATCGTCATCATCATCGGCAGCAGCAGCAGCAGCAACATAATCCTCATCACCATCATCCTCCTCGCCCTCCTCCTGCTCATCCCCCTTCCCCCTTCCTCCTCCTCCTCCTCCTCCTCCTCCTCCTCCTCCTCCTCCGCCTCCTCCTCCTGCTCCTCCTCCCCCCCCCACCCCAGTGGCGGCAGCTCGCAGAACAGCTCCGAGGGCGGCGGGATCTGCGCACGTCCACTGCCCCGGGGCCTCCCCCATGCTGGGCCCGGGAGCGGTGCGGATGCCCTCCTGGCCAGGCCAGGGCGGCGTGTACACCGCCCAGGGGCCCAGGATGAACCAGGCCCAGGGCAGCGCTTGCTTTTCAAAATTGTATACACTTCTCGATTTGCGCGTGTCGTCCTTGCGCAGGGGCCATGCTAATCTTCTCTGTATCGTTCCAATTTTAACGGATGAACCAGGCCCAGGGCAGTGTATAGGCATCGTTGAGTCGGGCCTGTCCCCCTAATTACAGGGGGAATTTCGTCGAAAAAGAAAAGATGCCCCCAAAATTGGAGAAGAAAAAAAAAGTCTCAAAATATCTGGGGACTATTTTTGGGGGTATTTTGGGGGTATTGTTTTATTTGTCGTCGAAAATCCCCCTGTAGGGGGACACGCCCGACGTAAAGGTATCTCCCGTCGCCCAAGAACGGGTCCTGGACCCTGGGGCTTTCTCCCCAGAGCTGGCGTCTCATCCCGAGTCGTTCTCTGGCGTTTCCCCAGGCCCGGGGAGGGTCCCGGAGAAACGGGGCGAAAAACTCGCAGGACCCCTTTCCTCCATGGCTAACCCCGACGAGGCCGCTCCAGGAGTCACAACAAATCTGTTTAAAAAGAGCCCTCCAACTTCGATTCTCGATCGGGCTCTTCTGGTCCGCAGCCCACAGCGAATACTGCACGCCCCCCCCCCACGGCAACTTGCTGGAGCCTTTTCACGGACATAAGGGGCAACGTCGACACTGAATCGGCGATACGTCGCCGATAGATCGCCGACAGAGGGGTGGACTGCCGGGCCCCTATTGGCGATCAGTGTGCGATTGGGGGTCGATATATCCCACCCTGACCGTACCCCCCCCCATAACATTACCCCTGCCGATGTCTTGAATTTTTCCATACGGAGTCCCTGGAAGTCCCGACCCTTGCCCCAAGGCCGGATTTTCATCCCGAATTGTTTGTTGACGGTCCTGGGGCCAAGCGAGGGCACCTGGAGGCCGAAAACGAACAAAATCGTGTCGTCGTGATTTGGTTCAGGACCCGAGCATGTCTGGGATCTGATCCTCACCGCCGCTAGGGCGGCTCCTGCACTGGGCCACGCCGAGGTCCTCGGAGCTCACGCGCTCGAGGCGGTCCACCAATCCCTGTGGCGCCTGCGGAACGCGCGTAGGCGTCTGCCCCCCTCCTCCCTACTTCCTCTTCTCCCTCCTCCGTTCTCTTTCATCCTAACACCATCCTCTCTTCTCCCGGCTCCCTCCTCCTCCTCCTCCTCCTCCTCCTCCTCCTCCTCCTCCCCCTCCTCTTCCTCCTACTCCCTCCTCCTCCTCCTCCTTCTCCTCCTCCTACTTCTCCTCCTCCTCCTCCTCCTCCTCCTCCTGCTCGTATTCCTCCTCCTCCTCTTCCTCCTCCACTTTCCTCCTTCATCCTCGCTCTTCCCCCCTCTCCTCTCCTCCTCCTCCACCTTTTACTACTCCTCCCTCCTCCTGTACAAAACATGAATGATGACTGAATAAACCAAACTTAAGCCACTTTGCGGCGACGCACTGGAATCTGAGTCGAGCCTGACAGCCCACTCGATAGACCTTCGCCCCGAATTTGAATTCGCGTCTCGCGAGGCGCCCCAGGACCTGGACACCCGAGTCCGTCACATGTGGGCGGCAAGGAGGGCCAGCGTGCTAACACGAGCGGCAACCAAAACATGTTCACTGCACGCATCCAACGACCACCAGGCCGTCGCGCAGCTCAATAGACATGCGAGCGCGCTGCCCAGCGCCTGCTCCCTGAGCAGCAAGCAAGCGCAACGGCGAAATACAGGTCAGCACACGGTCCTGGACGAGACAATCTCCCTCATTAGTCGCCCATGCCTCCCTCATTAGTCCCTCATTAGTCCTCCTTCTTCCTCCTTCATCATCCTTCCGCCTCCTGCCTTTTGCTCCTCCTCCTCATCTTCCTCCTACTCTTCCTCCTCCTCCTCCTCCTCCTCCTCGTCCTCCTCGTCCTCCCCCTCCACCTCCTCCTCCTCCACCTCCTCCTGCAGCCCTCATCATTCCTCATCATTCCTCATCATCATCATCATCATCATCATCATCATCATCATCATCATCATCATCATCATCATCATCATCATCATCATCATCATCATCATCATCATCAGCATCAGCATCAGCATCAGCATCATCATCATCATCATGATCATCATCATCAACAACAACAGCAGCAGCATCATCATCGTCGACGTCATCGTCGTCATCATCAGCAGCATCATCATCATCCTCATCAGCATCATCGCCATCATCGTCATCATCACCAGCATCATCCGCATCATCATCATCGTCATCATCATCATCAGCAGCAGCAGCATCATCATCATCAGAATCATCATTTCCCCTTCTCCTCCTCCTCCTCCTCCTCCTCCTCATCCTCCTCATCATCATCATCATCATCATCATCATCATCATCATCATCGTCATCATCATGATCATTATCCTCCTCCTCCTCCTCCTTCTCTTTTCCTCCTCCTCCTCCTCTTCCTCCTCCCGCCTAACGCGGCTCTACAATGCTCTGCCAATCATGAGTTCGTTCCCTCATGAGCTGTGCCCCTCGCTCGTTACCCGCATCACCCTTCATTTTCCTTGCTATGTGTGTTCCTCTCCTTCTTCCCCTTCCCCCCCATCATCATCACCTTCATCATCATCATCATCATCATCATCATCATCATCATCATCATCATCAGCAGCAGCAGCAGCATCATCCTCATCATCATCGGCATCGTCGTCATCACTGGCATCATCATCTTCCTCATCGTCGTCGTCATCGTCGGCATCTGCATTATCATCGCCATCACTACCATCGACATCATCACCCTCTTCCTCATCATAGTCATCCTCATCCTCATCAGCGTCCCACCATCATCGTCGTCATCATCGCTATCGCCGTCATCAGCGCCATCACATGTCATCATCACGCTTCCACTTGTCATCATCAGCAACATCACCACCACCACAACCATCGGCATCATGGGCATAGCCATCAGCATAAACATCAGCATCAGCCTCTTCTCATCACCATCCACAACATCGCCAAAATCAGCATTTGGAACATCATTACCAACACCCAACACCAACATAATCGTCATCATCAGCCTACTGCAAGCGTGAAACAGGTCAGCGCACGAAACCACACCCCGCCAGCATCTCTGGCGCCGAGACGACCCAATAGCCCACCACGACGACCCAGTAGCCCCGCACCTCGGCCTGCCCCGGCAGCCTGGCAGCGGCGGCTACCCGACGAGTTTCTCGGCCACCGCGGCACTGGCGGCGCGCGTGCGCTCCTGGCAGAGCGCGCAGCGCAGCTAGCGCGCCGTCGCGGCGTGCTGCGCCACGCTGAGCTCGGCGCCCCACAGCTGGGTCAGCGCCCCCGCCGCGGCCGCGGTGCCGGCGTCGTCGCCAAGCTGCTGCGCGCGGTCGCGCCAGCTTGCGCAGGTGTTTCAGCGCCGCAATGCCGCGCATGCCACCAGTCTCCAGCGCCAGGGAGAGGGCCGGCCAGGGGGCGCAGCCCTCTGGGTAACGCTGGCATTCGTCACCCTCGGCGCCCCCGTTGACTCGGCCGTCGCGAGCCGCCGCTGCGCCCAGCGCGAGTTCCTCGCTGGGCACCCCGCGCCGCGCGGCGACGTCAGCGAAGAGCCGAGCCTCAAGGTCGAGGATGCCCTCGTCGCGCCGCGCTGCGAGAGCTGCCCCGCAGGCCCCACAAGGCCCTGCCTGCGGGGCGAAGGTCCAGCCGCGCGCGTCGCGGCCAAGCGCCGAGCGGCGCCAGTGGCGCCCATCCACGCCGGGACGTGCACTTCCCTCTCGGCGCGGACACCGCCCTCGGTGTGGACGCGTTCCCACGCGCCCGAGGGTGCGGACGCGCGCCTTCGCGCCCTCCCCCACAGGCGCAGCGGCAGGCATGCTGCGCCCTGCCGCAGAAGGGCCCGCGGCAGAGCTGCCCGGCGCGCGGCCCGGCACGGGGAGGATCCGGCTTTAGCAGCTTAGCAGCGGCCTCCCAGCGGCCCGCAGTCTTGGCCGAAGAGCGCTCTCGATGTGGCGCAGTGCTCCTTGTCGCTTAAGCGCCGCTGGTGACCGCCGGCGGCCAGCTGATGGCCCGCGGCGCGCGGCCCGCCGCGGGAGCGGCGCCGCGCCCGTTCCTCCCAGGAGCCCAAGTCACTCTGTAAGTCTGTAAAGTTTCGTAATTATTTTGCTCGAGCCTTCGAGTGAGCGCGTTCTGGGCCTTCCCTGAAGGTTCTTGGGCGAGCTCCTGCTAGGGCGGCAGGCAGCGGCTGCGCGCGGTCGGCGCCCGCGGCCCGCCAAGCTGGCGTGCGTCCCGGCAAGCGGCGGCGAGCGGCAGGGCGGAGGCCTCCAAGGCTCGCCCAGCGGGACGCCGACCAGGGTCAGGCCAGCCGCGCGCCACTGGGACTCGAGGCCAGCCCGGTAGGGCGCGCGCGCGGACCACGCCCGTGTCTTGTGCGCCTGGGGCTCCAGTCCGTAGGGCTCAAGAGCCCGCCCCGCCGTCCGGGGCACGTTTGCGGCGAGCCCAACGGGCACGAGCGGGACGATGTCGCCGAGGTAAGCCAGAACCTGGACGTTGTCAGCGCGAAGCCCCCGCGCCGTCGCAGCCGCGCGCAGCGCGTCCACCAGTGCCTTCAAGGCAGGGCTCTGGCCGCAGACAAACAGGAGTGGCGAAAGCGGGTCCCCCTGGACGACCCCGTCCGCCGAGCGCAGAGTGTGGCAGGGCCCACCCCTGTCCCGAAAAAAACAAAGGATTCGCGTTGGCTGGACAGCCAGGCAAAGGGGAGAGGCTCTGGGGCCGCCGTTTCGAAGGCGGCGAAGCAGTCGGCGCGGCGTGCGGAACAGAAAGCGTTCTTGGCGTCGACGCCACCAGGACCACGTCCAGGCTCGCCTCCGTGAGCGCCCTGGCTGCGTGGGCGAAGAGATCGGTTCCCGCCTTCGTGCCAATCGCAGACTCCCCAGACCCTCCGCGAGATCGCCCTTGCCCGCACCGACTGGCGGCGGAGGGTGTTCGGCGCGGCGATAGGGCGGACCCCGCCACGTGGCTTGCGCAGCGGGGCCAGCCAGGAGAGCGCGCGGGCGACAGCGGCGCAATCTAGCACGTCGCCAGTGGCCAAGAGGTCGCACATGCCGTAGAAAGCGCCGACGGCGGCCGTGTCTGGGAGCACGATGCGCTGGTGCTCGAAGCGGCCGCCGGCCACAGCCGCGCCGCTGCCCCAGGGGCTCCGGCGGAACGTCTGCCTCAGGTACCCGAGCGAGAGGGGCGACGCCGCCGCAGGCGCCGCGCGCGGCGCGCGGGCCGGGGGCGCCTCGCCGTGCGGGCGGAGGAGCTCTTGCAGTTCGGAGACCGTCTCGCGGGTCAGAGGAGCCAGCCCTGGGCTCGCGAGCAGCGCGGCGGCCCGTGGATGCGTTCCTTTTCCTTTCGCACTCCGAGACCAAGACCAAGTCGCACCCCGAGGCATGAATAACTTCTCCATGTCGCACCCCGAGACCAATTTTTAGGGCGACCCAGGCGTTTCGCCTGAAACTCACTCATCAGTCATGAACCTGAAGCTTGAAATTTGGCAACAAATTCACAGATGAAGAACGGATGGTTTTCAACATGTGGCTCTCGCCTTCGCGCCGCGCACATTCGTTTTCAAGAATTGTCAGCTTCACGGATTGAGGCAGTTGGTTTTCAAAATGTGGTTCTCGCCTTAGCTCTGCGCACATTATGTAAACAAAAATGCAAAACTGTAACTAATTGATGGCGGCTCCTTTTCATAATGTGGCTCTCGCCATTGCGCCGCGCACACCCATTTTTAGATTTGCAAGAGTTTCACGGGTTCCCGTGATCGACGTATCAGGAATGTGAAGGATTCTGGATTATGAGGGCACAATAGTTACGTTGATTTGCTGTGGTGAAATCCCAAGAACGGCTTTCTGGCACGATTCAAGATTGTCAAGACGCAACAGATCAGGCTGTTCCGTGGCGTTGGACTCCCGAGAACAATGTTTTGGCATGCTTCAGGGTCTTCAAACGGTTGTCTTCCAACGAGGCAGCTCCCTCAGTGGAAATGAACCGTTAGGGTCCTATGAAGAAGGAGCTTGGAGGGAGGGTACATTCCAACATCGTTGATGACTCTTGCGTTTGCACTGGTCCTCCTCCTCCTCCTCCTCCTCCTCTTCCTCCTTCTCCGCATCATCATCAGCACTATCATCATCAGCAACATCATCCTCAGCATCACCATCATCATTACCACCAACATCATCATCACCATCATCATCAGCATCCTCATCAGCATCATCATCATCATCATCATCATCATCATCATCATCATAATCATCAGAATCATCAGAATCATCATCAGCGACATCATCATCATCATCATCATCATCATCATCATCATCATCAGTATCATCATCATCATCATCATCATCATCGTCATCGTCATCAGCATCAATCATCAAGATCAGCATCATCAGCATCATCATTATCATTAGTACCATCATCAGCACTGTCGCCATCGTCAACGTCATCATCACCATCATCATCAGCATCATCAGCGGCATCAGCACCATCATCAGCAGCAGCACCATCATATTCATCAGTATCATCAGCATCATCAGCATCATCAGCATCATTATCATCATCATCCTCATGCTCACCCTCATCATCATCATTATCATCATCATCATTTTCATCATCATCATCATCAGTATCATAATCATCATCATCATCATCAGCATCCTCATCCTCATCCTCATCCTCATCCTCGTCCCACCTCTCAATCATCGAGGACAGGGGGAGAGGAGACTTGCTCATTCTTCTCCTCCATCTCCTCCTCCTCCTCCTCCTCCTCCTCCGTGGCATACCGTGTTGCACTTGGGCAAGCACTCGTCGAGCATCAGCAGCTGCTCGAAGTCTTCCGGTCCCAAGGAGCGGAACTGCAGCCTGGCAAGTGGCCAAAGCACAGCCCGTACAGTCTTCTACAGCCCCTGAAGCACGCTTGGAACTCGTTCAAATCCAGCCGAACTGAGTCATTGCTATGCCCTCCTTCCTGCCTTATCCTCCCTGCCCTCCCCCTTCGCCTGCACCTACGTCCTACAGCCTCGGCGTGTCGCTCGGAAGCACCACATCTCCAGAAAGACTTCAGAACCAGTGCGCGAGCTGCGAGCGTCCCACGGCATCAGGCCTTCATACCCCAGCACGACGAGCTCTGCAAACGCAGTGGCCTCTGTACTCACCGCCGATCTCCTGAACACAGCAGTCCTCGTCATCATGGCAAAAATTTGTTGGACCGTCATAACGGTCCTCGACAATGGTCACTCTACCGTCGGCACCCTCACGAGCCGTCGGCACTTGCTGCCACTCAACGCTCAGCATCTGGATGGAATGCACGAACGCCTGCGCAAATCCTGAGACAAGGGCCCAGAATGGCTCGGAAAAAGTTGTAAACGTCCACTCCCGTCGGCACCGAGTCTACCATCGTGCCGACTCGACATTGCCCTACAACTCCCCGAAAGCACGGGCACTACAAGCATCAGCAGCATCAGCACCCTGAAGGAGGACTGGGGCGTGACTCCTGTCGCCCCGCCCTCTCCAGCCCGAGCCCGAACACCCCCGATGCCCTCGATTCTCCAGGACTGCCCCCGTCCCGACTTCGACGGCTGGCCTCAAAAAACATTGGCGGGCGTTCGTTCCCAAGCTGGGGGGGTGCGAGGACCATGGTCAGCACTAACCTTACGTCGGGCCTGTCGCCCTACAGGGGGATTTTGAGCGAAAAATGTATTTGTTTTATCCTTTCTTTTACCATTAAAAATGCCCCAAAATAGTCAGAATATAGTCTCCTGGCTACTTTTTGACTATTTTTGAGCAGGCCCGACTGAACGCTCACCCGGGTCGTCGTCCAGGGCTGTGTCGTGAGCCTCGGCCGGCCGGCCGCAGAGCAGCTCGCCCACCCGGGCCACAGGAGGGCGGGGACGGCTCCACAGGGGCCCCCGAGGCAATTATGAAGCAACTGCTCTGAGGCTTTCGTCGGAAAGACTGAGGAGGATTACCCAGAGATCCAACGTCTTGAAAAAATCAAACTCGGCCGGATTAAGCGGGATTAAGCCGGAGGGAGCCGGACTTCGGACCAGGGCAAAATCAGAACTTGACATCCCAGGAGTTGCATCCGAAAACCAGGGTCAGCCAAAGGAGATCAGAGGGGACTGGCTGAGATTGCGCTGAACCCCTCTACACGCTGGTCGGAAGAATTGGGTAGAAGCATGGGGCAGGAAGGGGTTGGAAGCGGACTGGTTTCCAGCCCACCCC